GCGGCTGCGGTGGCGGGCCTGGGCGCTCTGGGCGCCGCCGGCCGCAGTTTCGAGGAGGAGGCAGCTTGAAGCGGGAGAGTTCGGAGGGGCGGGCGGGGGACCCCCCAAAAATTGCTAAAAATGGTGGGCTGGGGCTGAGGGGTTTGGGGGGGGGCGGAGGCGGGGGGGGGGAGGCGGGGGGGGGGAGTGTTTTTTGACTTTTGGTTTCCTTTTTTTTGCCACACACATGGATAGATCGAGAAGGGTCGGGTTTTAATCCGCAGGTGAACGCAATGTTGAACGACCCCATCGACATGGTGCGGCAGGTGGGGCTAACCCGCTTCCATCGCCGTGTTCCCCGGAGCCCTGGCGCTTGCAGGCTGCTGCGGGAGCGCTGGAACTGCCCGGAGCTTTGGGGAACGAACGCACCGAACCGGCCCTGCAAGCTATAGGGATGCTGCAGCCGGAGGAACGGCTAGTTGCGAGGGGCGGCTTCAAGTAGCATGGCTCAGTCCAAGTGGCCATGCTGTGAGAATACTGGTGATGTCGCTGATGTCTGTGTCGCGCCAAGCTCTGCAAACACTGGTAGGTGCATTGGCTTCAGACCATTTGATGCAAGGTGATTGCGTTTTTTGCAGCCGAAGAGCCAAGCCAAACAAATCCGGTAGAAAGGAAGTTCAAGGTAACTCTGTACATCACCAAGATCCTAAGACCTGACCCAAAGCTTTTACGTGTACTCCCCAGGCTACCGCAGTCCTTTTCAGGTTGGTTTAGGCAAAGACGTGTGCCCGATTCTTTTAGCGGACCCCCTCCTTCTATACTGAGCACCAGCAAGAGAAACCGCGGCCCCCCCCCCCCCATCCCCCCAACCGCCTCTGCTCCAATTCCCCCAACCGTCTCCCGCGCCGATTTTTGAGACCCCAGCCGACCCAACGGCAAGCCGACTGAAGGCTGGGCCTGCGGTCGCCTTTGGCGCCCATCAAGCCCTTGGCGGCGCGGAACCCCTCCGCCATCAAGGCGGTGCTGGTGCCGCCGGACAACAAGGAGCGTGCGGGCGTTCTAGGGGTTGAGTGCCCCAGTCCTTTCAACCACCGTTCTTTTCAAAAACCGGATCTTTTCCAACCTGGGTTTTTGAGGGTTTCCTGAAGAGAAGGATCCCTGGAAAGAATGGGGAAGGTACCCCTAGAAGTGTGGGCGACAAAAATCGGGCAATCCCAACATGAGTCGCCCGACCGGTAAATGGACATAAGCACTAAAACCTGCGGTCCATGTCCTGGTGCAACCCCAGCTGAAGAGGTAACCAACAGTTAAAGTTCTTAGGCTTGGGACCGCCAGTAAATAGGGTTCCCCCTCTTTGACGCATACCCTTGTGCCGCTGTGGCACAGACTGTAGGGTGTCCCAAGGTAGGATAAATGGTCGGGCTCTGATGGCTTCAGTAGAGCTTATTTGGCTTTGCCCAGTTGACGGCGCAACTTTTTTGACAATTCATGGGTACCCCTTTTCGGACTGCCAGGAGAACATTAAAAGATAACCATTTCGGAGCGTTCAACTCCTATTTTTGAGAGTGGTTCAAGAGGCAAGCGGAAAAACCAACAGGACATCTATTGCGGGGCTATGTTAACACACACACACACACGCCCCATTTCACCGTCGGGACAGGACCCAGTGGAGGGCCTCGGCGAGTACTACAAGAGCATCATGATGAGAAAGCCCCGGCCCCGAGTCTTTTTTTTTTTTTTTCCGCGCGGAGACTCCGCGACGCGCGCGTGATTTCTGGCGTTTGGTCTATGGGGCTTTATCGAGGGAAGGCAAAGCTGGGCTTGAGCGAGAAACATTAACAAATTATTTGTTAATATCAACAATTGGATCAAAGACCCTGCACAAGACGTTGTATTTTTGGACAAAGGTATAGGCGACGCGCCTCGCCGAGCAAACAGCTTTGCCCAGGTCAGACCTCGTGAAGAGCGGCAAGTGGATCGACGACGATGTCTTCTAGTTGGCGGGGGTCTTTATTTCTGCAAGTGCGTGCAAAGACAGAAGGCAGCATACTTCTAGGGGTTGACTCCCCGTTCTTTTCAACCATCGGTCTTTCAAAAACCTGCCTTTTCCCTGAATTTCTGGGTTTCTGGAAAGAAGGATCCCTGGAAAGAATGGGGAAGTGTCCCCTAGAATACTCCTCTCCGCCCTGAACTTTGCAGTTCGGACCCATGCTTCTCGGAGATGCTTTTGCCTAGGCGCACCGCGCCAGTGCGACGAAGCAAGCCGCAGTGTGAGCTATGGGCCAAGTTTAGTGGCTGTCGATTCTATTGGAAACAGAAGCGGGTCTGAGGACTACACATCAATACCTCTCAAGCCATGTTTATGCTTTGCCTCGATTGAGCAAAGTCTCACAAGCTGCTCTCCACATAGTTTTCAACACATCGAGCTGCTCTCTTGCCGATCTCGTTTGAGAGGCGTGGAGGCAGAGAAGTCACAGGGCGCTGTAGGCAGCATGAATGCTGAGAGAGGCGCAGCAAAACACGACAGAAAGTTGATGCTGCATCAATTTTCAGGCTGTGGTTGCAGATCACTTTTTGGTTGCAGCCGGCTCTCCTAACCTAGACGTCCCGTCGAAGATTCTGTTTGATGTTGCTGAATGGCTGATTGCCGAGTGCTCAGAATAACATTGCGATGTGAAAGATGTATGCGTCCGGCTCTGCTTTGCTCAAGCAGAGTCAGAATAAGCACCATGTCGCTTGGCAAAACACCGGGCCCACATACATACAGTACATGCATACATATATGTGCACATTTCTATGCATGTTCATACGTACACAACATATAGATAAAGAATACATAAGCATACATTATATTATACATATGCGGCAGCGGAGGCACGCCTGATCATAGAGGTATAGATTAGCCAAGCCGAATCCGCAGAGTGTCAGAGCTAAGCAGCTGCATCGTTCTCACCACATGATTTAGCCTTCGCCTTCGCCTGTGTCCGGCGCTGCAGGGTCGCGCCGGCGCAAGCCGGAATGGAGCCTGAAGGCTGGTGTAAGTGACCAACAACTATGACATACTTGTGCCAGCTCAAGTGAGTTGTGTTTGGATGTTGAGGTATTTGTGTATGTGTGTGTTTATTCTTGTTCTTTAGGGGGCGGGAGGGTCAGGGGGGGGGGGTGCGGGGGCTGGACTGACTCATGGCCGTGTGCCCAGGAGACAGAAACAGTAGCAAGATAGGATAGACAGCAGCGACGACTGATTAAAAGGTTTGAACAGGGGGGGAGAGAGTCGCATAGGTAGATAAACAGACAGGTGGATAGCTAGATTTGGAGATAGGCAAGTAGTTTCTACTCTTTCCAGCCTCTACAGCTTTTCCCAGCCCCAGATCGTAAGGCGCTACTTTTCAGCCCGAGGCTACGTAAAAAAAGCAGCCAAGTTGACTTCTTGCAGCCAGCTCGAAACTCGCAGCGCGAAGGATGACAGACAGATAGATTGTCAAACTGAAATGGTTGACAGACGGACAGAGACAGGCAGGCAGGCAGGCAGGCAGGCAGGCAGACAGACAGACAGACAGACAGACGGACAGAGAGACAGAGTGACAGAGAGACAGAGAGACAGAGAGACAGAGAGACAGAGAGACAGAGAGACAGAGAGACAGAGAGACAGAGAGACAGAGAGACAGAGAGACAGAGAGACAGAGAGACTGAGAGACAGAGAGACAGAGAGACAGAGAGACAGAGAGACAGAGAGACAGAGAGACAGAGAGACAGAGAGACAGAGAGACAGAGAGACAGAGAGACAGAGAGACAGCAGAGACAGAGAGACAGAGAGACAGAGAGACAGAGAGACAGAGAGACAGAGAGACAGAGAGACAGAGAGACAGAGAGACAGAGAGACAGAGAGACAGAGAGACAGAGAGACAGAGAGACAGAGAGACAGAGAGACAGAGAGACAGAGAGACAGACAGACAGACAGACAGACAGACAGACAGACAGACAGACAGACAGACAGACAGACAGACAGACAGACAGACAGACAGAGACAGACAGAGACAGACGAGACAGGACAGCACAGACAGAGAAGACAGACAGACAGAGACAGAGACAGAGAACAGAGACAGAGAGACAGAGACAGACAGAGAAGACAGGAGACAGACAGAGGGACAGACAGAGGACAGCAGAGACAGACAGAGACAGAGAGAGGACAGAGAGAGACAGAGAGCGACAGAGAGAGGCAGAGAGAGACAGAGAGAGACAGAGAGAGACAGAGAGAGACAGCAGAGAGGCAAGAGGCGTGGGGGGAATGAGAGAGAGACAGAGAGAGAACAGAGAGAGACAGCGCGAGTCAGAGAGAGACTGAGAGGGAGACAGAGAGAGACAGAGAGTGACATGAGAGAGACAGAGAGGAGACAGAGAGGACAGAGTGAGACAGAAGAGACAGATGAGACAGAGAGAAGAGAGACAGACAGACAGACAGACTGACAGACAGAAGGGGACAAACAGACAGACAGAAGACAGACAGACAGGACGGACAGACAGACAGACAGAGAGAGACAGAGAGAGACAGAGAGAGACAGAGAGAAACAGAGAGAGACAGAGAGAGACAGAGAGAAACAGAGAGAGACAGAGAGACAGAGAGCCAGAGAGACAGAGAGACAGAGAGAGAGAGAGAGAGAGAGACAGCGAGACAGAGAGACAGAGAGACAGAGAGACAGAGAGACAGAGAGACAGAGAGACAGAGAGACAGAGAGACAGAGAGACAGAGAGACAGAGAGACAGAGAGACCGAGAGACAGAGAGACAGAGAGACAGAGAGACAGAGAGACAGAGAGACAGAGAGACAGTGAGTCAGAGAGACAGAGAGACAGAGAGACAGAGAGACAGAGAGACAGAGAGACAGAGAGACAGAGAGACAGAGAGACAGAGAGACAGAGAGACAGAGAGACAGAGAGACAGAGAGACAGGGAGACAGAGAGACAGAGAGACAGAGAGACAGAGAGACAGAGAGACAGAGAGACAGAGAGACAGAGAGACAGAGAGACAGAGAGACAGAGAGACAGAGAGACAGAGAGACAGAGAGACAGAGAGACAGAGAGACAGAGAGATAGAGAGACAGAGAGACAGAGAGACAGAGAGACAGAGAGACAGAGAGACAGAGAGACAGAGAGACAGAGAGACAGAGAGACAGAGAGACAGAGAGACAGAGAGACAGAGAGACAGACAGACAGACAGACAGACAGACAGACAGACAGACAGACAGACAGACAGACAGACAGACAGACAGACAGACAGACAGACAGACAGACAGACAGACCGACAGCAGACAGACAGACAGACAGACAGACAGTCAGACAGACAGACAGACAGACAGTCAGACAGACAGACAGACAGACAGACAGACAGACAGACAGACAGACAGACAGACAGACAGACAGACAGACAGACAGACAGACAGACAGACAGACAGACAGACAGACAGACAGACAGACAGACAGACAGACAGACAGACAGACAGACAGAGAGACAGAGAGAGAGACAGACAGACAGACAGACAGACAGACAGACAGACAGACAGACAGACAGACAGACAGACAGACAGACAGACAGACAGACAGACAGACAGACAGACAGACAGACAGACGACCAGACAGACCAGACAGACCAGACAGACCAGACAGACCAGACAGACCAGACAGACCAGACAGACCAGACAGACCAGACAGACCAGACAGACCAGACAGACCAGACAGACAGACAGACAGACAGACAGACAGACAGACAGACAGACAGACAGACAGACAGACAGACAGACAGACAGACAGACACAGACAGAGACAGACAGAGACAGACAGAGACAGACAGAGACAGACAGAGACAGACAGAGACAGACAGTGACAGACAGAGACAGACAGAGACAGACAGAGACAGACAGAGACAGACAGAGACAGACAGAGACAGACAGAGACAGACAGAGACAGACAGAGACAGACAGAGACAGACAGAGACAGACAGAGACAGACAGAGACAGACAGAGACAGACAGACAGAGACAGACAGAGACAGACAGACAGACAGACAGACAGACAGACAGACAGACAGACAGACAGACAGACAGACAGACAGACAGACAGAGAGATAAGCGTAGACAGAACGTAGAAGAGGGGTAGGAAAACAAAGAAAACAACACAAACAAACAACATTTGAGCAGACAAGATGGATAGGCGCAGACACATAGTTTCTTCTACGCGTGGAAAGAGAGGCAAATAGAGAGGTGGATAAACGCATGCGCAGATACGCGTATGCATGAGAGGAAGGTGGAAAGACAGACCAAGACACATTCGGGTTTGTGGCTTCTTTCAGTTTTTTTTTTTTTTTTTTTTTTTTTTTTTTTTTTTTGGGGGGGCGGGGGGCTGCTTCTTGTTTTGTTTGTCTTTTTCTTTTTGTGCGTGTGTTTTTGGGGTGATGAGTTGGGTGTGCTTCTTGTTTTGTTTTGTGTGTGTTTTTGGGGGTGGTTTGGGTGTGCTTTGGGTGTGCTTTGGGTGTGCTTTGGGTGTGCTTTGGGTGTGTTTTGGTGTTTCGTTTCGTTTTTCTTCTTCTTTATTTTGTCTTCTTTTCTTTTTATTCTTTTTTTTTCTGGTTTTTGTTTCTGTTTTTTTTGTTCTTCTTCTTTTCTTTTTCTGGTTCTTGTTTCTTTTATTTTCTTTTCTGGTTTTTGTTGTTCTATTTTTGTTTTGGCTTTTTGTCAGCTTTTGTGGGGTTTTGGCCTTGCATGGTTTTGGCGCTTCAGTTCAGGGCTACATCGCCTGCAGCGCTTGGAGGAGGCGGTGGGTTCGTTCATGGCTTCACCAGGAAGACAAAAAAACGCGCCAACCGCAAGCTATGGGTTTGTGCATTTTTTTTCCAGGGCAAACTTGTTGTTTTGTTTTGGCTTCTTGGGGTGTCCCGCGAGTGTGACACACGCAACTGCCACGGGGTGTTGGTCTCCTTGAGTTTCCCTCCCGCGTTTTTCTCTGCCGGCGGGCTTCGCGAAGCCCGCGCGGGGCGGGACCTGGAGTCAGCCAGGCGCAGGCGGCCTGCGCGACGCAGACCTTCCTGGAGGTGCGACGGGTCGAAACATGTGGTGAAGGACATGGGGAAAGGAGTGCCTCGTGTGGTGGTTGAACCAGATTGAGATCCTCCATGAAAATGAATCAGAGACCAGAGGATGTTCTGGCAAACTTTTTCTTGCTCCCCTATGAAACTCACGTTCGTGTCAGGTTTCTGTTTGTTTATCTCTCATCCCGGGTTTTTGCAGCTCATTTTCGCCTAGAGGGGAATTGAAGGAAACGCTAAAGCAAACCACCAATTTGCAAGGGGACACAATTTCGACGTGCCATCTGCTGGAGGCAAGCGAGCTGGGAGATGCTGACTCGCTGCGCTGCTGACCTGTTGCAACGGGCGAAGCTGGGGCATCCCCAAGTTGTCCGTGGTTGGCTTTTGGCCGTGTCGACGGCGCGGCGGCGCGGCTGGTCATTCTTTCTTGGCATGTTGGCTTGCCGCAGCGAGTTTTGGCCGAAGGATGCATTTCCCGGGTCCTGGGCGGGGGGGGGTTCCGGAAGATGCACGAAAAAAGGTTGCCAAGCCTAAGATGATCGGGCACGCATGTGTGTGTGTGTGTCTTCTGAAACGGAAATTGGGGTTTCTTCGTTTTGAGGAGGCATTCTGACCTGGAGGGGGTCGGGATCTTCACGCAACTTTTGTAAAAGCAGCAAAGATCACGTCCCTTTGATTAGTTTCATCTCTACAGATAGGGCAAACCCCCCAAAACCGGCAGGCCTTCCTAGTTTCTTAGGCTGGGACACCCCAAAGACTGTAGGGCCTTTTCTGCTGGTGCTCTGGAATGACCATGAGTCCGGGTGTTGGGAAAATGCACCGTTGGGGGATTGCTAAAAAAGTACGCCGACAGTTGGGCTGAGTCCATTTCTCATTCCTTGCTTTCTTTACCCAACAGAGGAAAAATCTGTAGCTTGAGGTTCCACAATTTTCTTGGGGAAAACACAATCCGCCGGGAAAACCCAGAGAACATTTCTGCAGGTTCAGCTCTTCCAAGCCGAAAAACATCCTGCAGGTTTAGGTCTTCCAACCGTGGTTCGACGTCTCAAAGAAGGCCTTCCCCACGATTTCTCGGGTTTCGGGGGGCGCAAGGCGGGAGCGGCTCCGGCACCTCGACGCGGACCAGCGCCGGGACCTGGCGCCGCGGCGCAACCAGCGGGGAGTGGCCGGGGGATTTTCCCGCGGCGTGTTTCTGTTTTTGTTTTTGTGTGTTTCTTCTCGCGTTGGTGCCTTTTTTTCTTTGTTCTGTTTTTTTTTGGCGGGGGGGGGGGGAAATGTTTGGGCCTCAAAAAGAAGAAACGCCCAGCTCCAAAGTTGCTTCTGAGCCTACTTTTCCATTTACATGGGCGCGAATAAGTTGACCCGCAACGGAGCTCGGAGCTCGAAAGTTGAAAGGTCCCACTTTGGAGGGCTCCAACTGTTGATATTCATAGCCACATGACCTTCGGCGCCAGAGATTTGTTTTTTTAGAACCCAGAAGAAATCAGCGACGTTGGGATCTGAGAAGCCCACAAACGGGGTAAGTTTGAACATGGTCGCCTCTTGGTTTCCTGGCAAACCAACCAGAAGGGAGAAGCCAAAACAAAATGGTCACCAGGCATTTTTGTCGGGTCCCTCCAAGACACATGCGGGTATGAACTTTGAATCGGGGATCCTTGGGACATCAATCGGGATGCATGTCTACCGCCCATCCCCGCTTTGCCAGGCCTCTGGGGTAAGCAACAAACGATGTAGCACCAAGCGTTTTGCCCTGATGGAAACGAGCGGAAAGGGGATTTAGGCGGGATGGCCAAATACCACAAGGGATCTGCAGAATTTCCTGTACTTTGTTTCTTCGGCCTCTCCCTGCAGAGTTTGGAGCCTGTGACGGGGTGGAATACGTTTGCTTGTGACTTCCATGATTCCATGTCGAAGAGCGTAGTTCGGCTGTTGGCTCAGGTTCGGTCGGTGGACCAGCAAGGCTGGAGATCTGGGAGATCGCAGACTGGCGAAGAAGTCCACGTGCCGGGTGTGTCTTTTTCTTGAGGGAACCCTCTTTGGATTGGATTCCAACGTTTCAAGGCAAGCAACGGGGGGATTCAGACCACCGGGTTCCATTTGTGGACTCCCAGGCAAAGTCAAAAAATCAGGGGAAGCTCTAAGTTTAAGCCTGTGGTCGCAAAAAAGTGAACCCTGTGGACAGCTGGTTTTGGACGTACTCGAATTTCGAGACACGCCCACTCCGGAAGTTTCCTGTGCAGGGGCTTCAGGCCTGCTGCTCGCAGTGAAGCGAGGGGATGCGGAGGCGTGGCGAGGTTTGGGCAAGCCGCGGGCAATTTGCCGATTTCGCTTCATCGCTCGAGAGTTTTTGTCGGATGTCCGGAGCATCCAGAGCAGCTGTTTTAGGTTGCTACTTCCTTGCGCCCGACTGGCCAGTGTCGCTGTCAGGTCGCTGCAGTTCTGTTAGAGGCGGGCGCCAACCCCAATGACATGGACAGCCGGCGGCCCCAGATTGAAAGCCTAGGCTGTGAGCTCTCGAATTGCGAGCTGTGGCACAACATGCAGGCGCCAATACCGACCTATTGCCAGTGCTTGTTCAAATGGCCTGCTTTGCTATCAGCTGGCATCCTTGCGGTTTGGCTTAGGCTCCGGCACCACTGCCGGCCACTACGCGACTCTGGCTGGCAATTGATGGGATGTCTTGAGGGAATCCTCAACAATCCACCTCGGGCTGTTTCAACACGGATCCACTGGGGTTTCCTTTTTCTTCAGCCGAAAGGGGCTCGTAACGATCACGTTTCGGGCCGGTTTCAACGGGAACAGAGGATTTCAACCCAACAGCTCAACCCCAACAGCCCCACAACCCAACGGCCCATCTCTCTCTCTCTCTCTCTCTCTCTCTCCCTAGTTTTGAGGCAACTGAGCCGCGAACAACAAGTTGCACAGCTCGAAAATCCGGCGAGGCGAGTTCGCGTGGTGACCCTTCTCTCCTAAAGCTGCTGCTCGACGTGCGGCAGCTCAGGCCCTCGCATTGGGTTTCAATGAACAAAAGCTCGGGTTGGTTTCTTGTTGAGCGACAAAAGCAGCGCCAGGCTTGGCCGACCCTTCCGGTCTATGGTCGCTTGAAAGGGCGGGCAGGTCTTTAGGCGACCTGAAGGGTTTCCTTTCAAACCGCAGCCAAAAAGGGAATCCCCCAACGAGTCGAGGCCAAGAGCGACCCCCAGCGCCGCGACGACCACGGCGACGAGCCGCTGGCCTGGGCAGGCAGTGCGGAGGCCGGAGAGACTCCAGCAGGCGAAAGGGGCAGGTCTCGTGTCTTCGCCTTTTGGGCTCCTTTGGTTTGCACCGGCTCGGTCCTTTTTCCCATGTTTTCTTTCTTTTTCTTTTTTCTCTGTAGCGTCTTATGCCTGTTGCGGACATTGTTTTTAGGGGCAAAGTGGTTGTGCGAAAGGGCGTGGGCGCCTCTCCGGAGCCCTCCGGATCCGGAGCAAGGCCGCGGGCATGTTGCTGGAGGCCCGCGCCGACGTCGCGGCGAGAGGCGGGGCCGGTTGGCCGAGGCGTCGGGACGGAGCAATTCTTTTGGCAGGGGGCAGTTTGGGCAGATCTGTCTGGCGAGGATTGTCAACACCGTTTTTGGGATCCCATTTTGGTTGGGATAGGTGAATTCACCCATTTTAGAACCTATTCTAGTGCTTGGATTGGTGGATGTTCACTGGGGGGCTAACCGATTTGGGTTTTGACCCATGGGCCATCTGCGGGTTCACGGTGCACAACTCTTGGGTCAACTTGTGGCAGACGAAGAGCCCGCTGGAGCTCGGGTCCTCGAACTCGCAGGTGTGGGTGGTCGGACGGCGCTGATGTATGCCTGCGCCAGGGGCTCAGAGAGCGAGAGGGCCAGGCAGGGAGGCCTCCAATGCGCCCAGAGGAAGACATGGGTATGGCACCAAAAGGCAAGACCGCAGGTTGTGGTCCATGTGTCCATTTTTTCTTAGGTTGCATTTTGGGTATTGTTTGACCCACAGCCACATGCCAAGTTAGAGGGCGGCCTGAACTTGTTCCGGCGCACGAGCTGAAAGCTGCTTGGTTTGCCCTTGATCCTCGGGAATGCTCTAAGAGTCTGGGAAGCTGGGGATCAGTAGGGTAGAAGGGCTCCTTTCGTCATTTCGACGATTTCTCCTTCCAATCGGACCGTATCCTATTTGTGAGCAACCATCTCGTAGGATATCGAAAGAGGGATCCCAGTTTGATATCGAAAGGCTTGCAGGCCTTCTTTTCCATATGCTGATCTTGAAGGTGACAGTTGCAGAGGGGCGTCCATCCCAAAGGGATCCCGTTCCTAATTTTGGGACACGGATGGCTCGTGCCTTTCTTTTGGGAATCCCCATCTGCTTGGTTTCAAGCAGAAAGAGAAAGGACACCCACCATTTTGCAGGCCTTTTTTTTGGAGACACATTCAGCGACTTCTTCGGCCAAGCACTCTGCGGGAGACCAGGAGCGTGGGCATCTGGCGACGGCCAGGGCGCTGGCGCTGGCGAGCGCCTTGGCCAAAGCCGGGGGTTGATCAAAGGTCACAGGGTGACCGTGCGGTTGAAACCACCAGTAACGCTACGACTTTTACCACTATAAACATGGCTTTTTTGTTGGGGCCCTAAATGGAATTATTGATGAACCCCCATGTTGGGAAACAAAGAAAAAGGTTGCCAACGGGTCCGCTCACCTGAACCTTCCCCAAAGCCGACCAGATCTTTGGTATCAGCTTCGGTGGGATTTGGCCACATCTCGCGGCAGCTTTTTTTGGGGCAGTCGCCAGGAGAATCAGCACACGGGCACGTTGTTTTTTTAAAGGACCCTTGCGGGGCAATGGGAGACCGACCATTATGTGGGAGCCTTTTAAGAAGAAACGCACACACACACAGACCAAAAAAAAAACACCCACGGCCGTGGCTCGGGTTTTTTTGTTTGTTTATCATGTATCAGAGAAATCCGCCCTGCAAAGCAACTCTTAGTTGGTTCTTGTGGGCAAATGGGCGCCGAAACGCAAACACCTCCGAGCGGGGCGCCATGGCACCGGTGCTGGAGTTGCGGAGGGCCGACAGCTCGGCGGCGGGGTCGCCCTTCAGTGGCCGGCGGCACCGGCGGCGCTCCACCAGCTTCGCGCTGCTGCCGCAGGCGCCGAGGGCGGGGAGGGGGCGTCGGTGGAATCCCCCGGTGGGCGTGCGTGTGTTTTTTTTCTTAGAAGGGTACATCAGAACGGCTTCGTTCTTTTTCCTTTTGGTTTCCCTTTACTGCAAAAATGGCCCCCCCCCCTTGAGGTGGTGGCTTTTCAAGCCATGTCCCTTTGTGGAACCTGCGAAAGTGGATTTCGATCGTTTCAATGGAAAAAACAACAACTAGTAAGTTCATCAACCTTTGATTTGGGGACATCGAGTGACCCTTGAGTCTTTCGGTTTCCAGCACCCAGGACGAGCGGGGCATTACGTTACAGGAGCTGATCCACTTGCGTGATCACGAGGAGATGCGTGAGGTGCGGTGGCACTGCGAGAACGAGGAGGCTATGGGCTGTGCCTCGCAGCCGCGTGGCTTCCAGGGTCCCTGCAGCTGCCAAAACTCGTTGGCGCAGGGCCGCTGGAGGACTCCGAACCTCTACGAGGTGGTGAACGACATCGTGCTGAAGCGCTATTGCAACGAGAGCGCCGCCTTGTCTTACGTGGAGTATTTGAAGGACTGCCAGCGCCGGGACGGCGGAGTCAGGAAGGTGCGCACCTTTGTGTCCCACTGGTGGGGCGAGGAGTTCTGCAACCTCGTGGCCAGCCTGACGCGCTTCGCGGAAGCGGAGTGCATGCAGCGGCAGTCGCTGAGGCTCTGGGTGCTCTTGCACTCCACGCTGGCCCTGCTGCTAAATGCGCACCTGTCCCTGCGCTTGATGCGGCAGCACGAGAAGCTGGATGATCTGTACGCCAGGAGCATCAGCGACACTCTGCTGGTGATCGTTTCCAACAGCCTTGTCTCGGCTCTGGTGATGGCGCTGGCGCTGCTGGAGGCGAGATTCAATCGCCGGCAGGCGCTGCGCTGGTCCTTTTGGATTTGCGCCTTTGCCAACAATCAGCACGAGCTCAGCCACGCCCTCGGCGGCACAGTGGACGCTTCTTCCTTTGCCCTCGCATTGCAAAGCGAATGTTTGCAGAGCATGGTTTGCGTCATTGACTCGCAATGCGTGATTTACCGCCGTTTGTGGTGCGCCTTCGAGTTGTTCTATGTCACTCATGTGCTTCCAAAGGGAGGCCGTCATTTCAGCGCGAAGAAGATCCCGTTGGAATTGGCAAATGCCGATGGAGTCATCAGTCAGGGCGGGCTCAATGACAGCCTGCTGCAACAGATCCACGCTGCGATCCTCAAAGTCAAGACCAAAAATGCCAAGGCCAGCAAAGAGGAGGACGAGAAGAAGATTCACGACTTCATCGAAGAGAAGACGACCCATGGAAGGCTCGACGCCACGCTGCGAGAGATCACGCACATCGGGCTCGACAGCGCCAGCCTGCGGCGCAGGTCCCCCCTGATTTTGTTCTTCTTCTGCCCGGTGGCGTCCTTCGCGCTGTCGGGCACGGTGTTTTGGCTCGTGCTCGCTTGCAACGAGCAGGACGCCGGCGTCGTATCCCTTCTTCGCTTCACCGTCTTGTTTTTGTTCTTTCTTGTTGTTTTTTTTTTTTTGTTTGTGATTATTTTTCTTCGCTTCACCGTCTTGACGTACTTCTTCCTGAGCGTGGGCGCCGTCAGCGTCATCTTGCTCTTGTGCTTCGGAAGCTTCGAAGTGGGGTGGCACCACGAGGCGCATGAGGCGCCCAGACCGCCCAACAGCGACACCTCCAGTGACGAGTCCGAGGCGAGTCGTTCGCCTGCGCCGGCGCGATCCGTCCTGGCGAGCCTGAAGGAGCTACGTGTGAAGATTGCTTTCCCCTCCGCCTACACCAGGCTGCAGCGGCGCGCCTTTACAAAGGCCATTTGCGGCGTCTTCTTCTTGGCGGGGCCTGGGCTGCTGCTGACCCCGCCGCTGCTGCTTCTGGAGCACGGCTTCGGCTCGAAGAGCGCCAAAGAATGGCTCCAACTGCTGCAGAATCTGCGGTGCCTGTGGAACCTGGTACAGGTCACTTACGCCTGCGTGGGTTTGCTCCTGGGCTCCTTGTCCTTCTTGGTGCGAAACCGCGTTGCCGCGCTTCGTCTTCTGGAGGGCGCGCTGCTCTGACGGAGGCAAAAGCTGGAGGTGCGTTGCGTGTGGCGTGTCTCGTTCTCAGGTTCTTGCACGGGATGAAGGAAGCGAAAAGAGGCCTAGCTGGGTGTGTTTGTTCCTTGCTAGGAATCGGACCCCCCCACAAATTGTGTTATTGCTTTTGGTTTGCCTTTAATACCCACCAAAAACAGACACCCAACTGGCAGAAAGACACCCGCATGTAGATTGTCACCGCCTGAGGCTCGCTGGATGACGGCGAGCAGGCATGGCGGCTGGCGACAGAGAACGGCCATCAGGCGGGTAAAACAGATTTCTTCGTGTGGGCAGCGCCGAAAACCCTTGTGAAGGAGTTGATTGAGAGCCTCAAGGTTCCGCCAAAGCGGTTTGGAAGTAGAGGGTTTTATGCGCCCTATGTTCGGCTCTCATTTCTATCTTTTTCAATTCTACCCCCCCTTCCTTGTATTTCCAAAAGTTTTCTTCATTTCAGGCTTGACCAATGTTGCTTGAATAGCTGGCAAACAGCTGGCTCACTGATTGTCCAGTCTGATCTTTCTCAACATGTCCGCGAGCAGGCTGCGATTCAATGGGATTAGGACAGTTCAAGCGGAGTCTGGAATCAGTCCAGAAGATTCGATGGACCCGGCCGACTGTGACGAGCAAAGACCTTGGGCTCCGCTCAACTCCTGGCGCCAGGAGGTTGCGGAGATGCTGGTTGGCCTCGGAGTGGAGGCGATATGGGCATGGCTCAAAATTAAAGATCTGGGGCAAACCGCAGGTTTTGGTCCATGTTTCCACTTACCAGGGCAACCCATTTTGGAATTCCGGTTTTTTGAGCCACAGCCATATGTTTGCCATCGTGGGATCTCAAGACGTGTCTTGTGCTGGAGGGTTCCTTTCCGGCTGGAAGGGCGACAGTTTGCCGTTTGCTCATTATACTCAGGCGTTTCTGCCCGGACAAGGAGACAAGCAGGAATGAACAGAGGCAAGAAGGAGATGAGAGAAGAGAGAAGAAGGAGATGAAGGGGAGAGAGAAGAGATAGAGAGAGAGAGAGAGAGAAAATAAAGAGAGAAAGAGAGAGAGAGAAAGAGAGAGAGAGAGAGAGACGATGTGGCAAAGCGTGAATTGGAACATGGATCCAATGCATCCCACAGGCCTCGGCGCAGATGTTTTTTGCGGTTTCAAAGCCCACTCCAATGCCGACCGGATTTGATCCGAGGATTTCTTTCGTCCTTGCCAGCTTTCATGGAGTGAGAGTTCTTGTTCAATTTTCTTGGGCAAAGTATCCGACAGAAGGCAGGTGCGAAGACTGGCGCGCCACCTCGATTTTTTCTAGGGTTGTGATTGTGACATGGGTGTGGCTCAAAATTAAACAGGAGGCAAACCGCATAACCGCAGGTTTTGGTCCATGTTTTCCACTTACCAGGGCAACCCATTTTGGAATTCCGGTTTCTTGAGCCACAGCCACATGTCCTCGGCCGGCTGGGTTCAATCATTGAGCTCCTCGGCTTGGCAAAAAGCCAAACTGTGGGCGAGAGGTGCCACAGAGCCAAGGGCGGGTCATGCAGCAGGAGGAGGCGGGGAGATCTCGGCGATCGGAGGGGTGCCAGGTCGAAAGTTGGCCTAGGTGTCGTCCAGGATGCTCAGGGAATGACCGAGGGAGAATGAACCGGAAGGGGATTCCCTGAAAGGAAGAGTCAACTCGGGGATTGTTCAGAGTGGTCCTTCCATGTCTAATTCCCTGCCAATCGCACCAGCACATGTTTGTGCAACCCCCGCATTCAAGCCTCGGACATGGCGACGCCGCATTCGGTCCATCCCGCATTTTGCGGGGTGTGAAAAATAGAAACTCCTTGTCCTAGGTGTCGTTTTTGGTTGACTTGGTCGAACAAAAAGGAGGGCGATTCCTGGTTTACCTGGTTCAATCAACTACCAGGGAAACCCATCCATTTTCCCAAAAAAAGACACCTATGCTCATTCTTGGACCATGGGTTTCACCAAGGAAGCCGCCCAGGTCCCGGGCTCCACTTGCCCGGCCTTCTCAGGCTGTCTACTCCATGTCACTTTTTGGAGCCTCACCGACCCTGCCAAAAGAAAAGCCGAGCTCTAGATTTGGACTCGTGAATTGCCATGTTTTTTTGGATTTGGGCGAAGATCCTGCCGAACTCTCTGGATTTGGGCCACCCGTATATTGCTGTTTTTTTTGGGGTTTGGGTTGGAAAGATCCACATGCAACCTCCGTGTTCCTTGCGCTTTCCCCTCAACTTTTGAGGCGCTCTTCGAGGCGGCGCGGCTGGGCGACGCGGGCGCCATCCAGCGATGCGCGCCCGCGCCCTGGGGGGGAGATGGGGCGCTTTTTTGGGCTGGGTCTGAGATGCAAATTTGGGTGTGCTTTTTTTCTTTTGCTCCCCGTAAAATTTGATGCGTTTACCTCTTGATGTTGATTTACCAGCCAACAAACAGGGTAGCCTCAAAACAGGGCGCCCACCCCTTCGGGCGTGTCTCCTTTGGGCACCCCCACGATTTGCAGTCTGCAAGCATTTTCGAAAAGGGGAGCTCCATTGGAAACGGCCAAGGCCAAGGACCCCATTCGGACTGATCCCTTTTCGATTGCGAAAGGGTCTCCAAGCGCTCAGGCTGGATGCCCTGGACGTGAATGTGCAGGAGCGGGCGACGTCTCGCCCTCCCCTCCCCTCCCTCCCCTCCCTCGCTCGCTCCCTCGCTCTCTTCCCGGACATCCACAATTTGGCGCAGTCCTGACGGCTGGGAGCAGTGCTTACCGAACCTGCACCCTGCACTGCCAACCGCCCCCTTCGTGCCAATTGGATCAGGAGCCCGGTGGAGACACGCCGCTGCTCCTCGCATGTGGCGTGGGGTGTGCGTCTGCAGCAGCTGGGCCCTCAGGATCAAGAGCGAGGTCATCTTTTGCTCACATGCCAAGGAGTGGACAGAATTGTTCCTCAACCTGTTTTGGCAGTTGCCTAGGTGCATCGCGAGGTGCAGGCAACTGAGTAATTTGTGGATCATCACTCCGGGTGGATTGCTATGCAAGCCTATGGGCTACGCGAGTCACAGCTCATTTGTCGCTGTCACCGGCACCTTTGAGTTCAGCAGAAAGGTCTATGAGAACATGGGTTAAGCCTCTTCTACGAGAATTCAATTCCCAGTGCCCATGCGAGTTTTACGAGAGTGGGGTTAAAGCATGGCCAGTGCAGCTTGGTGCTGTTCCAACGAGCTGTTTTCGCAGATCGTGGCTTTTTGGTCTTGTGGTGTGGCTGATTTAAGAGCATAGATTCAATTTGACCAAGGCAAACAGACCTCATTCCGTTGAAAGTTTGTGGTGAACTTTGAACTTTTGCTTGGTGCGGGCTTCCTGGCTTGCTTTGCAGGTCGTTCGCTTGTCTCTGATTGCGCCCAGCACGTTGCTTCGAGGTTAATGTGCTGCTGCAGGCGCCCTGTGAAGTGAGCACGCAAGAACCGAACCGCTGGGGATGTATACCGCATGTCTTTTTCCCGCTCGGCATGTTTATCTTGCCTGTTCTTGCAAGAACCGAGCCGCCTGTTGACACGCATTTCTGTGGTCTCTCTGTTGTGACACATAGCCATTTGGGTGTGGCTCAAAATTAAGCAGAAGGGGTTACGCAGATTTTGGTCCATGTTTCCACTTACCAGGGCAACCCATTTTGGAATTCCGGATTTTTGAGCCACAGCCACATCGCCATTTCCCTCGAAATCTGCTTAGCAGCGAAGTCAGGCCGCCGCGGACCCCAACAAGGCGGATCCCTTCATGGGCGAGACGCCGCAGCTGGGCGAAATTTTTGACTCCCGGAGACAGCGAGTGGATTCTTGTGCTTTGTAAGGGGTCGTTCGAAAATTAGGGCAACCCGGAAGGGAACCATGGTGAATGGAAAGGACGAAATCCCGGTTTTCTTGTTTTGCTGGACCACTCAGTGGGGTCGGAGGCTGACATTGATGCTTTTTTTGGGGAGCCTGAAAGAGGACAGAGAGATTCCAAATGCGTGCGATCACTCAATCTTCAATCGAAAAGCCTCACAAAGGCCAGAAGCTTGTTTTGTATTGCCGCCTCATTCCCGACTTATGTTTCACAGATCGCACGGACTTCTGAAGACGAGGCTTGAGACGGCCCATCCGATTGCCCACTCTGCCGCTGTGAGGCTGCACCGAGCCGTGTCGGGAGCCCGGCAGCGAGGTGTTTGGAAACCGCACTCAGAGATGCATACGATGCAATTCATTCAGACGTTGGGCTTTGGAGTTCGTCAAATGGCAGTGGTTGTCAAAAATAGGGGAACCCCAAAATGGGTCGCCCTACATAAATGGAAACATGGACTAAAACCTGCGGTCCCCTGGTGGGGTAAGTTTTTGACCCATACCCAAATTGTCAAATTGTCCAAACTTAGGACCTTTGATTTTGGACTTGACTGCGCTTTTCATCTTTGCGCTTCACACTTATTCCACCGCTTTGCCTTCTTTCCGCTCACTAATCCAGCATCTTTCCACTTGTCACTCCGCCCAGTTGGCCACAGGGCTGAGGAGCCTCGTCAGTGAAATGCACAAGCACGTATGCTTCTAAAAACGCGAAGGGCGCCCGCGTTCTTTTCTGCGAGGATGTGAGGACAGTTGATGCGATTCACGGCTCAGAGGCTTGAGATGCCACAACTTGGTTGGACCGCCTTCAGTTTCAAAGCATGTGGGTGCCTTTTTTAGAGGACCCGCAGAATGGACGGGTTTTCTCTTTTCCCTTCAAAATCAACACAAAAGGGGGTGGGGGTATCCACAAAACTTTCACTGCGAGAGAAAGAGAGAGAGAGAGAGAGAGATGATGAATCAACTCCTGGTTGCGTTTTGAATTTGGATCAGGCGGTGGAATCCAGATCGCTTCCGGGTGACAAAATCCTTTCTCGGACTCCCTGGGGTAGGTTTGCATGAAGTTCCGCCTGATCCTGAGGCTCGGTGGTGCCAGCTTGAAGGTCTTGATGCTGCTGCTGGAGGTAGCGGAGCAACACCGTGGCCGGTGCAGTCGGTTTTTCATGGTAGCCTTGGGCCGATAGCTGCATTTGGGTGCTTCTCCCAACGTCCTCCCATAAAATGGTCGGGTTTTTTCCTAGGTTCCCTTTGATTTCCAACCAAAAGTGGTTGCTGCACATGGCAAGGGTTTCTCTTCGTTTTTCGCTTTATGTACCCAAGGGGCGCATGTCCGAAGCATTTTGCACGACTCAGCCTCTGCCTCCAAGCGAAAAGCGACGCACCGCCGCAGGCGCGCGCGGACCCCCAGAGGGAGGACATCACGGGGCGCACGGCGGTGGACGTGGCGGAGAGCTGGCGCGGGCCCCTGGGAAGACCTTTCCCGCGATGGGTTGGACGAGGGCGATGGGCCTTTCGACGGGCCCCTTTGTGGGACGATGGGTGGGGTGCCTTTGAAAAAATGGGGGAACTAGCAAGTTGGATCTAAGGTGTTTCATAGTTTCATCAGGCTCGCCTTGGTGGTATGGGAAGCAAGTTCATGTTTCTCATAGGTGTAACAGGTTTCATCAGGATTATCGCCTTCGCGGTTTGGCTTGGCGGGAACTGGATTTGAACCCTTCTTGTAAAGGGGGGTTTGATGGCACACCACCCCCGGAAAACACCACGCCTCCAAACCACACAAAATCGAGGGGAGCGGAAATCTCACCCGTGGCTTGGTTCCGCTCGTGTTGCGTCGGCGCCCGCTTCGGGCTTGTCTTTTTCTCAAGCCAAAAGGAAGGCCCTCGCCAAAGGGTCGCAGAAGCTGGTTCTAACGCTCCCTTTTTGGGGTTCAAGGAAGCAGGAAGCCCAAAATAGGTTCTTGAACAGGTAACACATGTGCCGCGGAAGTTCGCGGAAGGGACCTCTTGGCCCGCGGGAAGGATGCGGAAGGGTCCGCGGAAGCTTGAATAATGTCCAAGCAAGTTTGTAGGCAATAAAAACCAACGCTCACATGTTTCACCAGCAGTTGGCCATTAGGCCCTGTTTGCCTGTGATTCGACCGGCTGTCGCTTGCCTAAGCATGTCTGACTTATAGATTTGAATGGCTTGGCATGAGAATCGATGGGAGAGTTCCTTTTCCGGCGTTTCTGAGCGCACTCTTACCCTCGAGCTTTCATTGTCTTCTAGCCAGCAAGAAGGCAAGCGCGGCCGTCCAGGAGGACGCAGTTTTCGTTCTTTTCAACAAGAGAGAAGCACCAGCATGGGTGAACAACTCTTAGGCAAAACCTGTGCGTCTCCTTGCCCGGCGAAAAATGCACTGCGCTCCGAGCGGAACTTCAGGTCCTATGTGGATGCCAGAGAGGTCCTGATGGCCGCCATAGAGGGGCAGATGTGACTTGCGCCAGCGGCAAAAAAATATTTGTGTTTTCTGGCTCTGAGCGCGATTCATATGTTTGGATGGGAGCTGCTGCATTTGATCTGTTTTGGGCTTTCCCAAAACACAGCGGCACTGCCAAGTTCGGCAAGTCTGTGCCTGTCAATCTTCACGCGAGCAGCTCGTGGATGTCTTTGGAGGCAACAGCCGAAGGCCCCCAGCCCGTTTCGGATCAGAGGCGAGGCTGCAATGCCCCTGAACAGTCTTGCTGGCACGCTTTGGGGTCACATGCTTGATGTCCAAGGAGGTCAAAGGGAGCAACCGGTGCCTTGTGTTGTTTTTTTTCTTCTCCCCCTATTAAATTTCATGTCGTTTTTGTTTCCCCCTTGAGATTGAGGATGCGTTGCCGGTCTGCATGTCCGTCATGCAAGGGCCAAGAGGCCGTTTTGAGACTTGTCCGCCAGGCAAGATCTATATTCCCTTCGCTCCCGTGGAGCCGCCCAAGGGCAAGTATGAGCGCGACACTCAAGCTTCGAAGAACGGGACGCGCGCGATACGCCGAACTGCGAGCTCCGATATCATGCAAATCCTTAAGTTGGCGCGCCAGGGGATCGGGAATGGGGGAATGGGGCAATGGGGCAATGGGGCATCGGGAATGCCTTGGAGAGGTCCACTTTGACGATGCTTGAGTTCAACAAGAAGGGTGTTCAGGAGCCAGGGGTTTATTTCACTGGGGGCAGAGAAGAGAGGCTTGTACGGGGAAATGGACATCCACCACAAAATCCTTTGCCATGCAAAGGCGCGGAGTGGCCATGTAGGTTGCTGATTGCACAGTAGCCATTGACTTCCCTTCAACACCACCAAAAAGGGGCGGTACCCCCCAAAAACGGGAAGCACATAAGTACCTGACTGGTGCAGGACAAGAGCCTGAAGAGGGATGCCGGCAAGCCGCCCAAGCACCTCTACGAGCACACCGTGGAGGCGACTGAAGTCGGGGGGTGTCTCAAAATCGGGGCACCCAATAGATATGGTGGTCCTTTTTTGGGACGGGTTTGAAAACCAGTCCCGAACAGGCCACCCTAGAAAAAGTAGGAAACATGCAACACACACACACCCATTTGTTGTAGGACGATCTGGCTTTTCAGTTTGGCGTTTCGGCGAACAGGTGAGATGGTCAGAGGATGGCGGGCCAATTGGCAAAGACAAGTTCAAGAAGAAGTGAGGGCTGAGGCCGACAGCGCGCGTTGTGCTCTTAGCGCAGCTTTGCGTGCACAAGGCGCGCGGCGCGGAAAGCGCTTTGTGTTGTACACAGGGTGGATGCCGTTTGGCTGAAGCCGTGCAAGCCGCGATTGGCCTCTTGGGGCCAACGACATCTTCGGAGGAAAAAGCCGGCGGCTTCAGGCATCACCTGGTTGTTTGTGTTTCCCGATGTGAAGGAGGTGTTCAAAAGGTAAAACACCTTGTCCATGTGATACAGTTTTTAGGATGAGCTACGTCCAGTATGATCAATTGGCTTGCGATCAAATTCAACTGGCTTGCCGATCGGCCCAGACGGAGGAGCCTGCTCGCCTTCCGTGCACTGCTCGCGTTTTGCTTTGCAGCTCCGGCCCGTGAATTTTTGGCTCGTCGCTTGAGTTGTTTCAAAAAGAATCCGAGGCCGGCGGATTGTTGGGGTTCGAATCACGCCGGCTGACGGCGCGAAAGGCGCTCGGCGAAGCTGGCCGATAACTTCGCAGCGGCCAAACATGACGTCGACCAGTGTAGCAGTCTACCCTTTGGTGCATTTTGCTTGGATGTTAGGACTTTATTCTTTTTTTTCCAGCAGAGAGCAACCGAGTTACCAGTCTACCAGTCTACCCGCAAGCGAGAGAGCGAGAGAGAGGCCTCGTTGCCCAGCCGAGTCGCTTGGCCGCGCACCATGGGACCGGGCGGCGCGGGTGCGACGCCCAGGCGGGGAGAGGAGGTGAGGCTGAGGGGGATTTTGGGACTCCCTGGCCGAACTTGCGGCCAAGTTTTTGGATGAAACTGGACGGAGGTGCGCGCGGATGGCTCCTCCATGTTTGTCCCTTTTCCGGCACCCCCTCAGCCGAACCATCAAACAAAATCGGCCCCCACTTTTTCCATTCAGCTTTTTCCTCATGCTGAATGATTCGGTAGATGCTAGGCCATGGCTGTGACGCTGTACCCCTTCAACCCGGACAGCCGGGGCTATGAGGACCTGGAATCCTTGCTCCGCGGGAACTTCGACACAGGTGGGGGTGTGCTTCATGGGGGAACCCTTAAAATGGCATGCGCGGGGGTCCTTTTTGGTGTCCTATCAAAAAAGCCGACCAAAAAGAGGGGGCTCCAAAAATGGGCGCGAGCAATAAGCAACACGAGTTCTGGCATGGCTTTGATTTGGCTTTGCTTGAATCGTATCACCTGCATGTTTCATGAACTCGACCGTCATTCCTCATGGGCCACTTCAGCAATCCGGACATTGGGAATCTCCGCAGCCCATGTCCAGCGAGCAGAGGGCCTCCATCGATTCTCTATTCGCAGGTGCCCTGCATGTGGAGCTGGGTACGCAGCCGCTCCCGCCCAAGCCGCAGGCGGTTTCTGCTTTGTGGTGCGCAAAGCAGGCAGAGCCATAGGTGTCCTTTTTGGTTGTTTTGCTAAACACATAGAAGGCCCTGGTTTACCTGGTGGTTCAATCATCTACCAGGGCCATCTATTTTCCAAAAGGGACAGCTATGGGCGGCGCTGAGGTCCACAAATGGTTGGCACCCTGGGCGTCTTTTGCTCTAATCCCTCCCCCCCCGGCCCCCGGGACCCCCAACATGGGACCGTCAATAGAAGAGACCACCAATTTTAGCCCGCGCGTCGGACACCTCGACGCCACGCAGGTGGTTTGGGATGTGCAGACAGGACACCGACGGCGACAACCGGCGCCGGAGCCAAAGGCTGGGCAGCGGGATCGGTTTTCCTTCTGAAGATCCTTGGAGTCCAAAGACGGAGCCCTCTTCTTGTGGCTCCAGTGGCTCCAGAAACCATGTTTCTTGTGGACTTCCATGTGCGCATGCGGTAAACCGGGCCAACCCCGGAACCAAAATCGAGGCCACGTGTGGGAGCCGCCAACTCCTTGCGGCCAGTGGGCGCTTGTCCGCTTCCGAGGGTCCGGATCCGCAGGCGCCCCCCGAGCCGCCGGAGGAGCCGGAAGAGCCGCCCCCGGAGCCGCTGGGCAGAGTGGGGCCCCCAGGCTACAGGCCCAAAGGCGCGGCCGGAGGCGAAGAACGGGCGAGGAATTGGACGGGGGAGAGCGGAGCATCCGATCCGCAAAAACCGAGGCGGTTTGGGTCACTCCACCGGGCATCGGGCATCGGGGAGTACTCGAGACCTGGTCAAAGGCGAACTTTTCCAAGCGTCTGAATTCACAAAGGCCGCGGCAGCCTCCCCACTCACGCGGTCCTGGAAGATCCGTTTCCTCGAGGGCTCAAAATAGGGGGGACCCCTGTTTTTTCGTGTGTTTCCCTTGTAAAATGCCCCGTCGAGTAGCTTGGTTGAGTGACGTAAATGGCATCTCCGGTTCAGGGGCAGGCTGAGTTGGGCGTGTTCTTTTGAGGCCTGTTCCAGGTTTGCTTAACGGGACACCAAAAGGATATGTCCTAGACCAACCCTAAACTTGCACTAAATTAAATCTCAACAAATATAGACCAAACAGAAACCCAGCCCAAAACACGCACCAAACCAGTACCAGACTGAGCGTGAGCAGACCTTCTCCAACTCTTTATGTAGCCACAACCAATTCCAAACCCACTTTAAACCAACTTGAAACTAAACCAGCCCAAAACCCACCCTGAACCAACAAGCAAGCCCTATACCAACCCTAGGCCCATCCCAAGCCAACCCAAAACCAACACTAAAGCACTACACTATCCCTAAACCAACCTAAACCGACCCTGAACCAACCCTACCCACAACCAAACTCACCCTAAATCCGCCTGAAAGAACCTGACAAAAACCTGCAACCCAGCGTAAACCATCCCTACACCACGCAATCAACCCGAAACAAGCCTAAACCTACCTGAAACAGAATCTAAACCAACCCCAAACAAACCCTAAGTGCCATATACCAACCCTACAGCCACCCCGGGAGAAGCCGTACCCCAAACCCTGATCACACCCAAAACCAGCACGAATCCATCTGCATACCATACCGTTAACCAAACCTAAATCCACCAAGCCCCAACCCAACACCCACTAAAGCTTCCCGATACACACCGTAAACCCACGACAATGAAGTCAAAGCCCTGCCCAAACCCAACTAAACAAGCCTTGAACCCGCTGAACCCCAAAGCTTCTGGGTGATATGCCGGGGGTGTTGAACAAGCACAATGCTGGGAGGGTGAAAAACGATGCTGGGGAGGTTGACGGTGCTGTTGTAAAACAGGTGCATTTGGTCAGAAACTAGGGCAACATACTGCAGTTTGG